TTGATAGTACATACAAGAGCTTTGATGGCCTCTGAAAATGGGTTTATTGTTGAATGAAGGGGGTTTGATGGAGTACAAACATGGTTTTGCTCGTAAATAAAAGGGTTTGGTCGATCAAACTTTGAGGTAAGTTTGATTGGGTTTTGTAATGACCCGGTCATTTTCCTTCCTTTTCTTTTTCTCAGATTTTCACGGATATTTTTTTTCCGTTGATCTTTTCCTTTTTGAGTTTAGTTTCTCATCACTTAGTGTCATCTCAAGTGCTCGGGAATGGTTTTTAAGACTCTTTCTTAGGGATTGACAACTTCCTTAAAAGACAGCGTCATTTTCGCATTTTCATTTTTTCGGCACTTTCACTTTTTGTCCTTTTCCTTATTTTGTTTTTTCCCCGTTTGTCACTTTTGGGCACAACTTCACTTTTTGTGTTCAGAGTTGATTTTTGACTTCACGTATCTTCATTCTAAGTAGTTTCGACGAAATACGTATCTTTACGTTTGCAGAAAAGTACTTTGGTTGCTCCCGGTGTCCATAGGGATATGGATGCACAGTTCTTCAGAAACATTTTCCTTTCTTGGGGTATTTTTCGTAAATATCTTTTAAAGATATTTTATTTTAGGAGTTTTTAAGAAAATATTTTTCTGGGTCATTAGTGCAGTTATCACTTTTTGGATGGGCCATTGTGCAATTAATGAAAGTTATTGTTAAATGCCTTGTTCTGAGCCCGAATCCTTGTATGGGATTCATTTTCACTTTTTGTCAAGTCGGGTACTCTTATAATTTTCTTCTGGTCGTTTTTCCCAATTTCAGGGTTTCCGGCCCCGGTTGCCTCCGAACTTGTTTGGGGCATATCTCTCTGCTCGGGACTTGGTTTTTGATGTCGTTTCTTCCATTGTTCATTTTATCTCATTTCAGTTCTTTTTTGTTTACAGTGTTTTACGGTTTGACAGCGTCTAAATAGGGGGTGAGATAAGAAAAATCAGATATTTTATTCTTCTTCCTCCATCTTGGCCGGCAGTCATGGAAGCCCATGGGGATGCCACATTCTCTCTTTTCTTTTGGACTTCTTCCCTTTGTTAAAAAGTCGTAGTGCCTTTGTGTTTTATGTTTGTCTTGACGACGCACATCTTTCCCCCTCATTAGAATCCATTTTTGGCCATTTTTTGAGTTCCGGTTTGAGGTCAAGTTTGGATTTTGGTATATCATCTTTGGAGTTTAATGTTCACTGTCTTGTCCCCGACATAACCTAGGAGTGTCGTCGGATTCAGAGCACTTTTCTTTCGGTGGGGAATTGAGATTTCATCTTAAATAGAGGTAGGGGATGTTATAGTTTATATTTTTGTTATCTTGTATGCTATTGATGTTTATACAACTTGTACGCATGCTTTAGTTCAAGTTCTGGAATTTAATTTAATTATTTTCTATATTTAAGATTTAATTCTCATGATGGTGTACAACTTAGAATTAAATTGTGGCATGCTAGAAAATTTGGCTTTAGTATGTTTGTTAACATATATTAAATTTGGATTATTTGAAAAAGAATTGCAACTTTTATTTAATAATTTTCTTTTGTGAAAGTTTAATTCTCATGGTCGTACCTTGCATGGAATTAACTTGTGATATGCTATTAAATTAAGTCTTGGCATGTTCTTTAACATACTTTAATTTGAGAGCATTTAGATAAATATGAAAATTTAGAGATTTTAATTAAAAGAATTAATTAAAATCTATTTAATTGTTCCATTGGCTAAATTAAGTTTTTAACTTGATATTGTTGATAACCATGCCATGTTCTTTAACATACATTAAATTGAGGCCATTTAGAATTGTTTTAAAATCTAGAGATTTTAATTAAAATGAATTAATTAAAATCTATTTAATGGTTCCTTTGATATAATCAAGTATTTGAATAGATATAACTTGTGTAGAGAAGTTATTTGATTTAGTAGATTAATAAACTCTTGTGATTTCATAGTATTATGAATGTGAATGCTTATTATGCATTATTGGAAGTTAAATTGCTAACTTGTTGCTATGTAGTAGTAATATGAGATTCTTATGAATTATTAATACTATTAGCCTTGTAAACTTATTGTTACAATGTCGTAGAATTAGTGTTTAAAATTTACCATGGAGGCATGATTTAAATTGTTAAGTAGATAATATTATATTGTACATTGTATCATAGTAAAGACTTGACATTTTATATGCCATTTTAGAATTGAAACTCTAAGGCATGGATTGTGTAGTTTCAACCTACTTGTGCATGGAAGGTGGTTTCGTGCATCATTTAATTGTGTATAAGTTGTGAACTTAGGACATTGTTAAGAATTGGTGGCTAAGGTTTGGCTCTAGTACGGGGACAAGAGTCCTCTAAGTCAATTGTACGTGCATTGGGTAGGCTGCCCAGGGGTTAGTAGCCCAAAAGTAGCCTTTGTGTCGGTCTGATCCGATTGATGTCCAAGTATATCCGCCTTTGCTGATTTTGCACTTTAGATTTCAAGTTGATAACTTTGAGAATCTATGTCTTGATGTGTTGTATTATAAATCCTAATTTTACTAAATTGTTGTATTTAATTGTTATCGCACTTTAAATTTCAAGTTGATGACTTTGAGAATCTATATCTTGTTGCGTTGTATAACATGTTTCTATGTTATTTAAATTACATGAATGATGTGATTTTATGCTAGGAATGATCTAAGGTAGCTTAGGATGCTCCCTGAGTCTCACCTTTGACATAGATGTTGGTGGCATGACCCTTTGGAATTGTTTCACATTAATGTGATAAGTTTGTAAAACGTTAGGTCCTTGCATGCTCATCTCCTATGAGTAGCTTTATGTTACTCACCCCAAAGTTACTGAGGTCATTTTTCAGGTACATGATTCAAGATTTGAGGATTTGCATTTGCCTTGGGTGATTTGTAGACTTGGAGTCCATTTAAATGTATTCTTGTTCACATGCAAGTGTTAGCATGTTTGAGTTTTACCTTTAAAGTTGTAATACTTAGTTAGGTTCAATTATGTCATTTTTGCCTTATGTTATGTAAAGTGCACTTGGATACACTATTTGGAACCTATTTGATATGTATGATTTGAGGCCAAAACTACAAACTTTAAAGTTTAAGTGTATGCATTTAAATTTCAAATTTTGCCTTTGAAATGTAATTTTTCTAACTTGGAGGTTTGACATGTGATTTGGAGTAAATGATATGTAATGATGCCACAAGCCATTGTAACACACTTCATTTTGTAAAATATACTTGTTGGCATGCTTGTATAGCTTTAAATCTTATTTTTGGACCAAATTCATGTTGGAGTTTGAGGCTTGGGTGAAGCCTTAACAATTCTTGTTCATAACAGGTTTTTCAGCACCATTTCAAGTCATTTCAGCTGATCGAAAGGTCATTTCAGTCGACTGATGGCTTTTGGGAATTTCATTGAACAGTAAAACACAAATTTCAGTAGCCAAAATCACTGTTTTGGTCCATTTCGGTCGACTGATGCCTTATTTTGGTCTACCGAAGTGACCTCCCCTCAAAAACCAACTTTCAGGAAAATTTATGTTCATTTTGGTCGACCGAAATGCCATTTCGTTTCGGTCGACTGAAATAGCTCTCATGCACCAACTTTCCAGATTTTGTTTCAACATTAATGTTCCGACTTCAAATGGTCATAACTTCTTCATTTCTAAACCAAATGGGGTGATTCTTGAGCCTAAACTCAAGAATTTTGAGTCAGCTCTCCAATGGTACTAATTTCATTCTCAGATTCAAATCACAGTGGGAGTTATTTATATTTTAGTAAGGTAGTGTTAGTTTTTACTTAAACCGGGAAAAAGGGCATTTTTGTGGAATTCTTGGCCAAAGTTTTTAGAACCTCTTGGAATGTTGTGAAATGATTAGATTAGGTTGTATTCACTTTGTTTGACTTATTTAGAGTAAATTTTCTCCTTTTATTTGTGAATTGACTATTTTGCCCTTAATTGACGGATTTTGCCCGTTTTGACTCTCGTTTGCTCATTCACTTTTCTTTGAGTTCTGTGATTTTATGGAAGGTCACTTTGGTATCTTGGGGATGATTTATATCTCTATAGACTTTGGTTTTATCTTTCGCTTTCGCATTCTGGATTCGTTATCGGGTCAACATTTAGTTCATTACTAACGCACCGAGTTAAAAACTTGGGCCGTCACAGGTTTGATGGTGGTTGTGTATGCTTAGTGGTTAGGGTTCTATTGAAAGGTTTTCATTGTCACGTGGTTCTGTATGTGTTAGATGCAGAGCGATAGATGTGTGGAGCGGAAAGGGAAAGGAAAGGAAAAGTTTAAGAAACTGAACGGTTTGTGTGTTTGGTTTTGTGTGTATGATGAGTACTATGGAGTTAGAGCGAGAGAGAGATATTGACAGTGATCTGGTGGGAGTTGAGTGATAAATAGGAGTTGTTTTGTCTTTTAAGATTATCTATATTTTGTGTTAAATTGTATTAAAAATGAAGAGTAAAATGGTCAATTCGCATGGGTAAGAGCCCAAAAAGTAAATTAATATGTAAGCAAAAATTAAAATCAAAATGTTCATTTAGGAGAAATATGATCTAACCTTGAATGGTATCAATATAATTTATCCCAAGACTCCGTTTGTTTGGATGTAAAATATTTTTTAGGAAAATATTTTTATTTGATGGTGTTTGGTTGTCGTAAAATATTTACGAAGAAAAAAAATACTAAAATTTAATAAAAATAATTTATCTATTAATTTTCGACAAATTATTTTACATATCTCGTTCGATAAATTCGACCTTAATTTGAACGTAGATCTTTACCGAATACCAAAAAATTAAAAATTAAAAAATATTTTACCTTAAAAATTTTTTTTTACGTGAGCAATGTTTTTGCAAAAAGTGTTAGGACCACTTTCATTGTGAATGTGAATTTTTGCAAAAAGTGTTATCAAGCTGACGCGGAAACCTTGTCAAGTTGTTTTTATTTTAGGTTCAGAGATCTTTCTTGTAATATTACTAATAATTTGCTTGGCTCGTCCTCCCGCAGAGGAAGACTTAACTTTGCCTCTAAGGCAAAAATTAGGGTTTCTGATTGCATTTTCAAAAATCAAAACACCAAATCACAACCGAATCTCCTCTCTCTAAACTCTCTCCTCTCTCTAAATTCCCTCATCTCTCCATAGCACACACACACAAACTTTTGCCAAACCCGATCTGAGTGTCCAATCTCGAGCCTTCCTACACCGCAAAGCCGTTAATTTGAATCACTTCCTGTGATGATCGTATCTATTCAACCGACTGTTTCAATCTCTCATACCAAGTGGTTACAACTCTCTATACCACCTTCCGATTGTTCTCAATCCAAAGATCCAAGAATCGAGTAATCTTGATAAATATACAAGATTGTAGATTTGTAGTGATTGATTATGGATGTTGAGGGAAACAAGCGTGTGTTCCAACGTCTGGGGCCTTCAAGCGATAACAAAAACCAGAGGGTTTGTTACCATTGGAGGGCAGGCAAGTGCAGTAGGTTCCCCTGTCCTTTCTTGCATAGAGAATTAACGCCGGCGCAACCATCACAGCCGCCCATCAGCAACGGAATAGGAACGTCGAAGCGGCCTCATGGGTTTGCCGACGACCAGCATTTTATCCGGCGGAATACTAATTTTAACAATTCTTCGACATGGGGGCGAGTTCATGGCAATAGGGTTCTGAAGAAGACAGAGAAAGTGTGTAATTTTTGGCTTCAGGGAAGTTGTAATTATGGGGACAAGTGCAGGTTTTTGCATATTTGGAGTACTGGAGATTGTTTTTCATTGTTGACACAGCTTGAAGGACATCAGAAGGTGGTGATGTTTGTTATACACTTATATGTCAATTCAATTGTTTATTTGTTAACTTTGAACTTTTTCTGGGATTTGGATTTGATGAATGTTGGGCTGTTCTTTAACGAAATTTACATTCTTTATCTGGAAAGGGGTACTGATTCTTGGCATTATTACTTTTTGTCTTTGTATTGCTGCAATAGTTGGGTTAATTAGTGGTGCATTGAACAGGTTGTTACCGGGATTACTATGCCATCTGGGTCCGATAAGCTTTATACTGGGAGTAAAGATGAGACCATGAGGGTCTGGGATTGCCAGTCTGGGCAGGTTGGTGTTCATCTTTTGTGATTCTTTATTGGACCAAATTTTTATTTTTATTTTCTTTTAATCACTTAATGCTCTTTTGATGTGGAAAAGATGTTGGAGATGAAAAGAAACTAAAGCTTTTAATTTTAGACTTATGATTGGTTGGAACTTGTAGTTATGGATGTACAATTGCATATCCATCTAACATGGTTCATTTCATTAGGGCTGTCTGGTGCATCATCGTAACATGCATTTTGAATAAAAATAGAATATGTCTAATTTGTGCTTGTTTTGGAAAATTGAAATTAAAATACGTGCTAAGATAAGTACAATAAAAAAGAATGACACCTTGGAAACAGGAGCTAACACACAAAAGCGCAGTTAGTTTAGTTGTTATGAGTATTTGTCTTTCATAAAACAAAGCAAATTTCCACGTGTGAATATATATTGAAAAAGAAATGGGATCATATTTATTTTCGTTTCCTTGATTTTATTGGCTACTAAATGGATTGTGGTGTATTCCATTCATATATTGTTGTGTCTTTGTTTTCTGTAGTGTGCCGCTGTGAGTAATTTGGGTGGTGAAGTAGGTTGTATGCTCAGTGAAGGGCCATGGGTATTTGTGGGCCTACCAAATCTCGTTAAGGTAAGGTGTGAAACAAAAAATTTGTTCCTTTTGTCTTGACTTAGTTCATTTTTATTGTTTTTGTTTCTTTTAAGCTTATAAGCTGCAGGAGTAAGCTATTTTCCTGTTTGTTGGGCTTGTGATGGTGATATTGCAGGCATGGAATACTCAAACGTCTAGTGGTCTAAATCTTAGTGGACCTGTTGGACAAGTCTATTCCCTGGTTGTGGGGAATGATTTGCTCTTTGCGGGTACACAGGTACTCTTTTTATCATAGTAGATTGTATTAGTTTTTCTGGTTTACTGTATTATTCTGTTTACATAGTCTACCTGATCGTATAGGGGTTTTTAGTGATAGATTGCACAAGTTCAAGAGGACCAGATCTCTGTGTAACTTTTGCAATTTATTGTGTTTTCATGGATGAATTACTACAAAACGACTTCTATAGGAAGTCACTGTGCTGTGTATTGGTTAGTTAAGGTTTTCCACAATACATACATGCATACTTATATGTATGTTCTCCCAAAAATCATGGTTATCTGGAGACTCTAGTGCCCTAGACTCTTGCTGGAGTTAGAATTGTGCCTCTGCAACTTGGAACCTGCTAACGAAATCCGTTGCATGCTTAATTTAGTTTTTGTTCCTTCTTTCTCTGGCATTTGCATGTTTTTCATTTCATGAAAGGAGAACTTCTGCTGCAGGATGGAACTATATTGGCATGGAGATTTAATGCAACCACCAACTGCTTTGAAGAGGCTGCATCACTTAAGGGTCACACTCTGGCAGTTGTGACACTTGTTGTTGGAGCTAATAGGCTATACTCTGGTTCCATGGATCATTCTATAAGAGTAAGTTTGTAATAGTGAAAAATGCATCCCAGTTATCTGTGATTGTTAAGAAGAGGTTTTAGATGACTTTGGGCATCATTGTAATATTGCTCGAGACTTGTCATTTCTTACATTTTGTTTTCATATCTGCTTTTTGCTTATAGGTATGGAGCCTTGAAAACTTGGAGTGTGTACAGACTCTGACAGAGCATACTTCAGTTGTAATGTCTGTTCTATGCTGGGATCAATTTTTATTATCATGTTCACTTGACAAGACAATAAAGGTTTGTGTTTTTACTTAATAATGATGATGATAACATTCTTGCACCTATATGGGTTGTAACATCTGTTACTTATTCATTTAATTTTTCGTGTTTGTGCAGGTGTGGGTTGCTACTGGGAGTGGGAACCTAGATGTAACATACACCCACAACGAAGAACATGTAAGTTTATGTTAAAGTATCTCCATTGTCTTATATATATTTGTGTGTGTCTTTCTGTTAAAAAAATAAAAAAAAAAATAAAAAATTTTAGGCCAGCTTTTTGGCCCCCCTTTTGCAGGACTTCTAATTTTGACAATGACATTAAATTAAAAGGTGTTGCTTATGCCTGGAATATTTACATACATACTTATCAAAAAAAAAAAAAAATTTACATAAGTTCGTTGTTACTTAATTAACCTGAAGATGCTATTAGGTCCTGGTGTTAAAGTCTTTTTTTTTGGTCACTCCTGTGTATAACGGCCTTTTATATTCTCTTATTTGAATTTGTAAGGTTTATTATTTATTAGGAGTGAATTTTTACTTTTAATTCAGTATTACTTCTTTGTTGTGTAAACTAAAAATTTTAGGCAAGCTTTCTGGCCCCCCTTTTGCAGGACTTCTAATTTTGACAATGACATTAAATTAAAAGGTGTTGCTCATGCCAGGAATATTTACATACATACTTATCAAAAAAAAAAAAATTTACTAAGTTCGTTGGTACTTGATTAACCTGAAGATGCTATTAGGTCCTGGTGTTAAAGTCTTTTTTTTTTTGGTCACTCCTGTGTATAACGGCCTTTTATATTCTCTTATTTGAATTTGTAAGGTTTATTATTTATTAGGAGTGAATTTTTACTTTTAATTCAGTATTACTTCTTTGTTGTGTAAACTAAGTTATTCGAGTAGTTTTGTTGTTCTACTGAAACTTCCCATTTTTTAGTCTACATGAACATAAATTTAGTTTGAGGTTGTTTTCAAACAAATAATAATCCTGAATTTAATAGTTGGTTTAACTCTAGCATGCAATGAGTGGAAATAAATCATTTATTAGCTAATCCCATGTGGTTGGGGTGTAATGATTTGTTAAGTTGAGCTGTATGCATAGAAAAATCCTTTAGGACAAACTATCTTTTATGGAACTATAGGACCACTAAGAATATATATCTATATATATATATATTATCTTTAGTTAATAAGTCGATGTACTTTGTAGTGTTCCCTTTTCACTCCCAATGGTCTCTTAAGTTACATGGACAGTCAATGTGTGAGGAACATTCATGTCATTCTGTCATGGTTATGGATATAGGGTGCGTACATTTCCCAACAGACAGTGGTTGAACCAGAAATTTCAGTTCACGTGAATGCAGGGAGGATTATTAATATGTAAATTTTTGTTTAAAAACATTATAAATAATTGAAATATTTTTTTCATTGCAATATATGTTTGAAATGATAAAAACCATGATCTATATAAGGTCTTGAAAAATTATAGATGGTCCAAATATTTTACTTCTGGATTGCAAGTACCATTGGATGGCGAGAAAGAGAACAATTTAATCAACCTTGTCTAATTTGATACTTAAAATCCATGGAAGAATGGGAATTAGTGGAAGATGTTCCCAATAATGCAGAACTGGCTAAAGCAAAGTTACTTCTTATAGGGGAAGAAGTAACCTTCTTTTAGGATTAACTAGAGCAACTAGGAAAATTATAGATAATAATAATAATAAAAGATTTCTATAAAATGTCCAAATTCAAGTTCTTTTCAACATAATACCAAATTATTTCTTTTTGTAAATGATTTGAATCTTGAAGATTCAGTTAGAATCAGGATTCAAACAAAAGGTACAGAAATGAAACTTGATTCCTGTTATTTAGCAATTCACTGAAAACCGTCCTGCCTTTATCGTAAGAAATCATAGCAAGATAAGATAAGGAAAGGCTGTAATCGTCATTAACTTAAAAGACTAAATGAACATCTTGAATTTGATGGGTATTTTATACCTGGAAAAGATGTTCTGCTTAATCAAACTAAAGGTACTAAAATTTATCGTAAATTTGAGTGTGAATCAGGATTTTGGCAAATTAAATTAACTGAAGACCCAAATTATTGAAACATTAAGGAGAATCTGTCTGAACGTCTTATTTGATTTTTAATCAACATAAGGATGTACAAATTTTTGATGAAGGAAGTACAAAAGTAAAATCGTAGCAACCAGTTCGTCTGAAACATAAGGCTATATATTGGTTAATAGTAGCTTTCTGTTCAGCTATATTATTAGCTAGTATTTATAAGATGTTCCAGGCAATATGGGAAGTGTACATTTTTCATAGCAGTAGCTTCTTGATTAGAATTTTTGCTAGATTCTCCTTTAAGGATCTAGCTTCTCTGAAATTTAACCAATAAAATTTGGCCGAACAATATAGACAATTTCCTTCAAATTGCTAATTTAATTGAAAATGATTTTCCTGACTTGTCAAAAAAAAAATAAAAATGTTTTTCCTGTTTCACTATTCAAAAAAAATAAAAGAATCTGTTTGTTTGAAGAAGCAAAAACTATTCTTTCTCAAGACGATTTTGAATTCCTTCATCCAAATATTGAAGATCACTAGAGAAGGTTACTCATTCCCCTTAAGAAGAAATCAGGGGGAGGAAAATTGAACTGAGTCGATATTCAGTCTCAAAGAAAATTGATTATATGAAATACAAAATATCTAAGAGAGCTTGATGACAAAAAAAAAAAAAAAACACGAAAAGTATCATAGTTAAATTTCTAAAAATATCTCTGCAAAACATTAAATGCAGCCTCATCCTTGTCTCATTGCAGCTTAGGATAGCCGCCTACGTCTAGTGTAGGTTCTTAGGCTAGCCTTAGGGTCTTCATCAGGGCTTTAATGGGAGTTTTAGATTTGAACTTGAGAAAATCTTTTAACTTGTGTGTCAAGATGTTGTGGAAGACATCTTCTTTTAAATGTAATGGAGAATCGGTGGATCATCTTCTTTTGCACTGTCCAGTGGCTTTTGATTGTTGGTGTCTATTGTTAGGCATGTTTGGGGTGTCGTGGGTGATGCCTAGATCTACGAGAGGATTGATTGAGGCTTGGAGAGGATGCTTTGTGGGAGGTCATGCTCGTGGGTTTTAGAGGATGGCGCCGTTGTGTTTATGGTGGTGTCTATGGAGGAAGCGGAATAAAAGATCCTTTGAAGGAGTGGAATCCTCGATTGTGGTTCTTAAGTCAACTTTTATTACATCTTTATGCTTTTGGGGTTCCGGAAGGCATTGTTCCTCCCCGGAGGAGACAATTGATTTGATTTCTTCTTTGGGTCCATAGGATCCTTTTGTTACTCATGTATGCGTTCCCCTTTTGAACGCTTTTTATTGAATTTGCTTATTTATTAAAAAAAAAAAAAAGATGTTGTGGAGGAAGTTTGTTGAGCGGGTAAAGAGAACAATGGAGGTTTGGTTTTTCTTGTTGCTGAGTGTGTTGGTAACTTATTTGGGTACTGTGTATAGATATTGTGAAAGAAGTATGATGAGACTGGGTAAGGCGAACTATGAGGGTTTGGTTTGTCTTGTTGCGGTTTCACAACTCTTCTGAAAGAAGGCATTTTTTTAATGAACACAGTGACAATATCTCTACTGATGCAGTTGACATCCTGTTTATCACTATAGCCTTCAATTTCGTTTCAGCCTTAAAGAATATGCAGTGGCTGCAAGAAGCACTCTGAAAACTTCTGTGAAATGTTTTACCTATAATGTGCTCCACAGCCCAAGAAATGATATAATTTGGATCACCAGCATGGAAAATGGCATTTGGGTAAGAGACACAGCCATACTCTGGAGGTGAAAGAACACTTTAAAACAGATGATAACCTTCTCTCTATAAAAAATTATGGCTAACTTATGAGATCACACCAATCTGCAACAATCTTTCCTGAGCTTAGTCTATTTTAAAAAAAATAGTCAGCCACAAGTTTATAGCAGTCCTCCCTACTCTGCTTTATCTAATCTCTATCAGCAGAATTAAAAAATCTAGTCTGGAACCGTAGTAATAGGTTTTGGTTACTAATCAAAATGTGAGGGAGACATTAAGAGTAGCACCTTTAGTGATAAGATGAGAGAGTAAATTTAGGTGTTATGGACTTGTACAAAAAATACTTACTTATTGATGCACTGGTAAGAAGAGGAAGACTTATTTGCAAAGAAGGTAGGAGAGGGTGTGGGAAAATGATATTAACACGGGATGAAATTATTAGAAATGATTTTAACAAGTTAAATATTGCAGGAGAGATGGCTTGTAATAGAAAAGAATGGAAAAAGAGAATACATGTGGCCGACCCCATTGATATGATTGGTCACTCTGTACCTGGCTGGGATTGTTCTGTTTGGAGGTGGGAGTAGTTAATCTTGAAGCTGATTTCTAAATTTTGTGCTGAGAAATAAATAATCAAGGCGTGGGTCTTTTTACTTATGGGTGATGTCGATCTTCTGTTACCTTTGTGTTGCCCTCATAACCCGATTGAAGTTGGAGAAGTCTCTGTATCATCTGATGTTTGGCTAATGGAGATTCTCACCTGTATATCAGATAGCTGACCTAATGCCGCCAAACCTTAATTGTCCAACTGAAGAACCTTACTAGGTTCAAATAAAATACACTTTTGGTTTGTAAAATCAACTATCTGGCATGCTGTTGACAAACCAAATATATGGTCAAGTAGGTTTTTCAGATATGCATTTGCTCATGCCACCCGGTAATGGGAGGAAAAGATTGTCAGCATTTCCATCCTTGGCCTTTTTTGAGTCATGTGAAAACACAATATTGCATTTGTTTAATGGGTAGAATTGATCTGGGCATTGTTATTTGTGCTATTAGGCATTGTTATTTGTGCTATTATGGAATCTGAGCTTTTGTCCTAGTTTTGAGGCAGTGGACAATCTGTTTGGTCCTAATGGCTTTCCATCACATGATTAGGATTTTGAGGTACTTTAATTTCTTATGGTAGAAGAGATGACCATGTTCCATGGAATATGTAGGAATCTCTGACCATGTTCCATGGAATATGTAGGAATCTCCAAAGTGGTACAAGCGCATCATTGTTAATACAGTTGGCTGATACGTTTGCTGTCTGTCAAAGTCTTGATATTGCAGTTCTGTTTTAAAAATAATCGTCTTTAAGTATGTTCTTAGAAATAAACATGATGTTAAATTGTTTGACCTGCCTGGTACAGGGCTTGCTCACCCTCTGTGGGATGCACGATTCAGAAGGCAAGCCGGTCTTGCTGTGCGCTTGCAATGACAATTCTGTCCGTGCCTATGACTTGCCATCGTAAGTTTCTATATTCAATTTTATATTATTGTATCAGATGTAAATTCACATGTTCCTTTCATGTTCAATTTTTATAAATTCTCGTACTTTCTACTTTTTCCATTTTAAATGGAGTTCTGTTTTACTTGATATAGTTTTTCTGAGAGGGGCAAGATATATGCAAAGCAGGAGATTCGATCCATACAGATAGGTCCTGGTGGTCTGTTTTTTACTGGTGATGGAACCGGTCAAGTGAGAGTATGGAAGTGGTTGGCTGAACCAACTCCCGCTGCTTGATGAACTGCAATAAATTACATTTATGTTAACCATGATGTATTTCTTTTCTGATTTATTTTGATTCTTCTTTATAAGGTGCAGCTTATGGAAGATATCCTAAAATGTCGGTAACAGTTTTGAGTCTATATTGTTAGTTTTTTAGTCTCATAAAAACCATTGGCAACTGCTTTAGCATGTACTGTAATTGTAGAAGAGAGACTTTCTGGTCAGTAAAGATTTGTGTCCCTTGCATTTGTTCGTGCTACGCTTGCACTGTGGTATTTCTGTGACTACATCTGAGTTTGTAAATGTTCCAGAATTCCCAGTGTTTGCACAATATAAAGTTGCTTTCTGATGAAATTATAGACTTGTTAGCCTAGTTTTGAAGTGCTTATTTTTCTTTTATGATCGATTTTTTGTGGCTGGTGAGCATGTAATGAACAGAAAGCAAGTATGTTTCTAACCAATCTTGTTATTAGATCATCAAATTTACAGGAGCGGTTTCCACTTCTTTATGTAATGGTCTTTTTATTTCTGTTTTCCTCAAGGCTAGGCTTTGGAATGTTCTCTGTTTAATATGTAATGTGCCTGTGTGAATCTTCAGTGTTTTGTTCACTGTCCAATACATGTATAAAAACTGTCCAATACATGTATAAAAATATGCATATGCATTACATGTAGATGAGCTAGTTGAAATGAGACTAAATACACGCCCACATACCTACAGTTTCGTACATGGCATAAGTTTCAAGGATCACATGTATGAATGAGTCATCTGTGCACTGAAACTTGTCAATACTATTATTAAAAGTACAACAATTTCCATCCAATATTGAATTTCTATCCTTTCTATCCTATATTTATATATATATATATATATTTTAAAAGACTTTTTAGAAGAGAGTTTCTATAAAACTCTTATCACATTTTAATTTTTTTTATTGAGGTTTTATTTAGATGAGTTTCTATAAAACTCTTTACCACATTTACATATATATATATTTTTTTTTCAAAGGAGGTTTTTTTTATTTAGATAAGAGTTTCTATAAAACTCTACCACATATTTACATATTTATTTTTTTCAAAATAGTTTTTTATTTAGATGAGTTTCTATAAAACTCTTATCACATATTTATTTATTTTTTAAAAACAATTTTTAGAAGAGAGTTTCTATAAAGCTCTATCACATATTTACATATTTACATATTTTTTCTTTTCAAAAGAGTTATTTACATATATATATATATATATATATATATATATATATATTTTTTTTTTTAAAAAAACAGTTTTTAGAAGAGAGTTTCTATAAAACTCTATCACATATTTACATATTTATTTTTTAAAAAAGAGTTTTTATTATTTTTTTTTTAAAAAATTTTAAAATCTAATTAAAGAATGATATACATTACATTTAAAAACTTATTTAATAATAATCAGTAGAAAATAATAATAATAATAATAATAATAAGTGTTAATTACACTACACCCTTGAAGTTTACCTTATTAACATGCGGATGAAAGTGATCAAGCTCCTGTCTCCCTATTATCAAATGAATTCCCAAACATCACGAAATTATGAATCTTTTCTAAGAATGTAGTAGGGATTCTGATGAATCTTTCACTAATTTGCAAGAAATATTTTCGTTATTAATTTGAAGGACAAGAACATAAAAAGAAACATAAATTGATTACCACATAATATACATATACTTAGCGTAAACAAAAAAAAAAAAAAAAAATAATAATAATAATAAAAAGGACTGAAATTTAAAAATATAGAAAATATAATAATTCTATGTCAGCAGATGTGAATATTGGATACATAAGCAAGCATTTATTTGTTTAAACATAGCATACACCATTTTTCTATCCCATCTTCTGTTTTTCACTTATTTTATTTTTTATTTTTTTCTATTCTCATCTTCTGTTTAAATTGTAGAGCCAACTCTACAAATTAAACATAACCTTGATGGCATTACCACCACGAGCGCTGGTTTCAAATGCTTCTTCCACCTCCTTCTGAGAGAAACCAAACCTATGGGTTATAAGGGGCTTCACGTCAATCTTACCACTCTTCAGAAACTCGAGGCACAGCGGCCATGTATTCTTGTAGCGGAAAATGCCTATAACATCAACCTCCCTGAATTTAATTAAAAATCACGGTTGTTAGCAACCCCGAGCATAATCTTCAGACGTCAAATTTGTGATCATGATTTCAACTAAGATAAAAAGAAAAAAGAACAAAGGACTCAAATACCTCGCAGCAGCTGGAGTGAGAGGGACAGTCATCTCGCTATGACCCATTCCCACGAGGCAAACTTTGCCGCCTGCACTAGTGACACTCAGAGCTGTTGTCATGGTTTTGTTAAAGCCAGCACAATCGAAGCTCACATCCACTGCAGCTCCCATAGCTCTACGGATCTGTTCCACTTCTTCAGCTACATCCTGTAGGACACTTATTCTCTCAAGAAATGGCAAATGTGAAAGAATTACCGCTGAAATTAAACTAGATGTCGCGTTTAAGAGTAGGTAAGTAACCCTTGTTTCTATTGCATTCTATGTATCACATTCTGTTTCGGGATACTTGAGAATCGCCATCCATACCTCAGTGTAGGTCCGGGATAATTCTTTGTTCCATAGCCCTGGGGCTATTTACAACTAGCCAAATCATACATGATTTACATTACAACCCAACAAAAATGAGAGGTTGTGGAACAGAACAAATGATGTCAAGACGAGCACCTTCGATCAGGAAGTAAAATTAGAGAAGAGAAGTTGTTACCTATAGAATCTTTGCATAGGGGCTTCATATGTCTTTTCACAAGAAGAAGAAATATGAATTTAGAGTGTGTTACAGGCTTCTTAAAACAGTTTCAGGGATATTTCTATTAGAACACTACTATCAATCAACTTTTTCTTGAGTCACAAATCAAAGGGGAAACATCTTTAGTAATTAGATTTTCAGAATACTAAAAGGCGGCATGAAAAATGTATGTAGTAACTTGAACAGGGAAGAACTGAACTGGCATTGATGTGTCAGATTATTGTTGGCATTTAGAATTATACACAGAATAAGTATGAGAAAAATTAGGCATGTCAATGAAGGAGCTTTTCGCGAGATCTTTCACATTGCATACTTTTCACAAATTCTAGGCAAACATTTCAAATAAATTGTATAAACCTGTATATTTGTTGAAACTTTGACAATCCCATCTGCACCTAGATCCTTTGCAACAGAAAGACGATGATCATCCACATCCACAATCACAATTCTGGCAGCTCCAAAAGCACGAGCTGCGAGCAATGTCACAAGCCCAATGGGTCCTGCTCCCATAACCAATACATTTGTCTCGGGTCCAATATTAGCACGGCGACAAGCGTGGACACCAACACTCAGGGGCTCACACATTGCCCCTTCCTCCAAGCTCACATTGTCAGGCAGTTTAAAACACAGATCTGCAGGATGCACCACCTGTTTACATGAAAAATTAACACCTTAATACTGCCTTTATTTGTCAAAATTGTTAAAATCACATAATAACTTTAATTCATCCACATTCAGACAAAAGGAAAGCACTCTTGATCCTATGCATATGTCCCAAAATATTCATACTTTATTCCAAACTCTGCTAAGATACTTAAATTGGTACTGCTATTGTCTAAATTTTACATTTTCTTGTCTTACTAAACACTAACACAGCCCTCTCAACATCCACATTCGTACCGCACCCATTCCATCAACATAATGTCTCTTTGCTGCCCGGTATTATGCCCCATACATCTACACCAGTCTAATAGATATAAGAACCCTTGCCCATTTTTCAACACATTTATTCACAAGGAGGTAGATAATGGAAATGGTGTTCCCATAGAATATATGAGGATTGGCTATGTGGAGTTTACAGATAGATTGTTTGATAGATGTAAACCTATAGGGTTCAGAGGAATTATTTTTTTTTCAATATATATATATATATATATATATATATATATCTATTAGAATTTATATCTAGTCCTTACTTTCTCTTCCTCTCTCTCTTATCTACTCAGTTTCTTGTACCTTCTAATCAAAGTATTTATCAACTCTATTCTCCAAAATATCAATTTTCTCCCCAGTTGTAAATTAAGTCTATTATTCTGGACTGTCTCTTTACCTTTGCTCGTCCTCGTTCAGATAAATATAAGAACCCTTGCTCATTTTTCACCACATCCATGCCTTGATGCTATGGTGCCCTTGCTTATTTTTCATTACCCCCGGTGTGATATGCAACAATTTTTTACTTGAATATAGAAGTGTGCCAAAAGATTTATGCTAGCCCTCAATTACCTAATCCATTTGAGACTTGGACTGTCCGTAAAATACTAAGGACAATAGAATTTGGATTATGCTGCTCCAAAACCTAATTCAATTTAACTAACAGATCAACTGACCATAAAATCCAAGAACATTATACAAACACTACACATTTCAGTTACCTGATGGGCAAGTGAACCATGAACTGGAGGAGTCGCGAAAAACTTCATCTCAGGGCACAGATTGTATCTGCCTTCTTTGCAAAGGCTGCATCGCCAGCAACTGATGCCGGGCTCCAGTGCCACCCTATCACCCGGAGCCAGCGATTTCACATCACTCCCAACTTCTTCTATGATCCCGGCACACTCGTGCCCAATTACCATTGGCTCCTTAACAATAAAATCTGCACATCTTAAGGTCTGAAATTATGCAAAACATTAACTATGTCAGTATACTGTTTGATAAAACAATTTTCACTAATCCCACTATTTTTTCTAAATTTTTCATATTGAATTACTCTTATCTAAAATCACAAAATATAGGAGAACAAAATATTCATTGTAACTATAGAAAATTGATAATATCACAAACACACACACACATATATCCATGAATAAGGTTAAGAGGGTTTCGCTTTCAGGTAGTGAACATCACATATTAATTAATGGGATTAATTAATCCCATTAATTTTTTTTTTTTTCTTTCTATTTTTTCATATTGATTTAGGCTTCATATTCATTTAACTATCTCACACACACACACACACACACACACAAACATATATATATATATATATATAAAAGAAGGTTTTACCCTGAGGTAGTGAACATCACTTCCACAAATACCTACAGCTTTCATCCTTACTTTAACATCATGGGGGCCTATAAAATAGATAGAATTAACAGAAATAGATGAACTTTGGAACATATAAAGCAACAAATTAAACTATAAAGTGTAATAATCCATGAGTAAAAGAACATAACAATATAAATTAATTATAATAAACATGAAAAGAAAGAATGATACAAAGAGGAGAAGATTAATACCCAGTAGAGGGAGCTTGAAAGGCTGAATTTTGAGGGTATTGATACTAACTAGCCAAGCTGCCATGTTCTCTTCTTCACCACCACCACCACCACCACCATGAGACATCCCTCCCTTACCCATTCTCTCTCTCTGTCTCTCTAAATTTTTCCAGTGAACTGTGAAGGGTGAGGTGATGGATTCTTTAGCAATTGTTTTAGTCAGATTTGAAAAAAATGAATAGAATACGAGATGAAGAGTTAAGGGTGATGGAGATTGTGCGTGTGGGACAGCCTGGACAGGCTAACGTTGGATAAGCATCAAGTACTTTGTCTTTTATGCTTGATTGGTTTTTTTATATTAAAATGATTTGTTTGGGGGATTTTGATTCTCATCCAAATTGCTGTCCTTTTGTCACCAATTACAAGTATTTATTTATTTCTTTTTATTATTTATTTTTCTCGATAAAGGGGAAAAGTAATTGCCACCAATTAATTTCAGCCATATCAACGGCCCAAATTTCAGGTGGTGTCTCTGATTTACTCTAGTGCTGTCTTTCGTGTCCTGTGGGGTCAACTGGTATTCGGAAATATCTACTTCTTTTCAAAAAAAAAAAAAAAAAAAATTTATGTCCACCGATTTTTGTTATGGAAAACGTTGAGATAAACACAAATACTTAAAAGAGAGAAATTTTAATCATATTTAATCCTTTTTATAATTTTATTCCATTGTTTTAAGTTGCCACAACTACTTGTTAAGTTACGTCAGTTAATTATTTATTCTTATCCAATGATGTGATCTCAGGTAAATTTTCTGATATGAAATTCGTAATCATTTAAAGAATGAAATTGAAATTGAAATTATAATTGTCCTATGCAATCTTTTTTCAGCATCTGAAATAAAATTTTCAATGAAGGCAAGACTTATTGGATTAATGTTTCATCAATTTTTACTTAATTTTACAGTGTTGAAATGAAATGAAACTTAAAAAATTTGTTAATTTGTGAGGTAGATTTTAGATCCTTTTACATGGAGTGAACAGTACAATGCATAGCAAAGGGTGAAGAACACTTTAGAGGGAGTTAGGTTCACTTTGTCCAATCATATGAGGTGATTTATTTGCACTTGACTATTATTATAAGAAAAATTTATTTCATATCGGATTCAAATGAAAGAAGTGAAGAGTTAAATTTTTAAATCTAATAGTGAAACTAAATTATCAAAAGACCAATGATCAACAATGGATACAGGGTAAATATTATTGCTAGAGTTAATAAATTCATGCTATTTTCCTTTGAATTCTTTCAACTCAGAAAATACAAAGTAGGTGCTCTAAAATACCTGTGCAATGAAAGGAAACATCTTTGACAATTACCCTTTCCATTAACGAGTGGTGTTTATGTAAATATACTAACCAATGGGAGAGAATAATCTGACCTGACGTGGCACTCACTTAGAACTTGAACTTAGCATATGCAAAAATTGAATAGAGACCTCTGTTTTTTATTATTATAATAATTATTTTTTTTTTTATCGATATTGACATGTAGTTAGTGCATTTATATACAGCTATCACAAAGTGAACTTTATATTTATTCTTGTGTCAACAACACAATATCACGAATAGTAGAAATCACCGCACGTGAAGTGTGGTTTTTACAAAGAAAGTGAAGCGATTTTCACCTTCCTAATGTACACCACCATACTGTGGGGTGCGCAGTATAAGATTAATATGTAAATTTTGGATAGTATGGAGATTTAATCCAAAATAGTGGCTGGACTTGGGTGGATAGACTCAATAATAGAATATGGGTAGGCAGAATATAGTACAATGAAAAACAAGTGATAGGGACAACAATCATCAGCAAATTTAACTCATCCCCACCCCAACACGCGCTGAGAGAGATGATTGGCTCCATTTTGGGAAATTTAACACACACACACACACGCACAGAGCACACAGAGAGGGAGAGAATGTCACAGAGTAATGGGGAAGGCATGGATGCAGGAGAAAAGGAGAACATGGCAGTTTGGCTACTTGGTGTCAAGACACTTAGTATTCAACCTTTCAATCTCCCTCCTCTTGGTAAGGGTATTTTTTTTTTTTTTTTAAAATTTTTTTTAAATAATGTAAAAAAAATTATCACAGGCTGATTTTCACCATAATAACAAGTAAGGTTTATGCAATGATAGGTCATGATGATCATTTCAAACATATATTGTAAGTGTTGCAGGAACAGCATTATTTTAGTACGGGCCACAAAAAATGGAATGTTTAATACACAAGAGGAGCTAAACCTAAGAAAAAGAAGGTCAACCAGAGTAATTCATCTTAGTTTACTTACTATTGATAAATATTAAATACCTACCTAAAGCAAATTAAAGGGAAAAAAAAAAAAGAAAAGAAAAAGAAAATTACTTCCCAGAGGTGCCTCAATCAAATATTGTAACAGATTTGCATTCTTAATTACAGACAAAAATATTTTAGACTTCTTCTAGTGATCTCTCAAATCTTACTCATATCTGCATAGATGCTTTGCAAAACCTTTTTTTTTTTTAAAAGCATTTATCCTTATAAGTTTCAATTATGATCAACAAAGGATAACAAAATTTAACTGTGATTGCTTGTAATTTTACGTTACGTTTTAGGCCCCCATGATGTCAAAGTCAGGATGAAGGCTGTTGGCATATGTGGAAGTGATGTTCATCACTTCAAGGTAAAAACTGGAGGGAATGCTCTTCAAATATCTTTATTTATACCACTATTTGATTTTCCTTATTTTTTTGAACTTGACAAAATTTTAAAAGCAGATAGAGATGTTTTCTTAGTGATGTCTTACTCTATTCTCAGAATATGAGATGTGCAAACTTCATTGTCAAAAAGCCAATGGTGATCGGCCACGAAAGTGCCGGTGTCATTGAAGAAGTTGGAAGTGAGGTGAAGTCTCTGGTTGTGGGCGACCATGTCGCGTTGGAGCCTGGCATTAGCTGCAGGAGGTGCCATCTTTGCAAGAATGGCCGCTACAATCTGTGCCCGGAAGTGAAGTTCTTTGGCTCTCCTCCAACAAATGGTGTTCTTGCTAATCAAGTAAATTGAACACTACATTGTTTGTTGAGCATAACCTTCTCTTGTCTATTTGACAAAAAAATGGTCTCAACTCTGTGATAAGAACTATCCAAATTCTCAATTTCATTTTTACCATGTTAATAGGTGTGTGTGTGTGTAGCCAGTTGCTTCATAATTAGACAACCTAGACATGACCAATTATTAGACATATGCATAACTAAACAGCATCTAACCCAATAATATAACCTCTCCGTTCTCAAAGAGTTTGAGAACAGTAGGGTTCGAAGTCGGGAAAAAAGTGTGTGCGAGTGTATTTCATGGCAAGAAAAAAAAAAAAAAGAATAAAAGAGAAAAGAACTACAAGCATCATTATCATACTTCAATGTACCTTTTATTAGATGGAAAATACCAATTTAGAAGTCCTATTTGTTAGCTTGAAATGAAAATGAGGGATGAAACTTGGTATTAAACTCTGCAATTTGGGTCATAATTCAAAACCAATGTAGATTTATATTCAAGGTAAATTTAGAATTATAACCTGAGTTGAAAATGTGTTTGGAAAGTACGGGCAATGCTGAGAAAGTACCTTCTTGAACCAGGTGGTGCATCCAGAAAATCTTTGTTTTAAACTACCAGACAATGTGAGCTTGGAGGAAGGGGCAATGTGTGAGCCCCTCAGCGTTGGCGTTCATGCTTGTCGCCGTGCTAATATCAATCCAGAGACAAAAGTACTAATCATGGGAGCAGGACCTATAGGCCTTGTCACCATGCTGGCAGCTCGTGCTTTCGGGGCTCCCAGAATTGTCATTGTTGACATAGATGATCGTCGTTTGTCATTTGCAAAAGATCTTGGTGCAGATGAGATCATTCAAGTTTCAGCAAACATCAAGGTTCTTCTCTGCTATGCAGAGTTACTTTCCCTTCAATTAAGCTTGTGCAAGTCTTGTTGTCACTTCAGTGACCAGGAAGAACTCATTCCAGTGTCCAGGGCCTGAGAAAAATGAATCAAAATATTGATAATTAGCCATAGATTTCTAATTTCAATGTTCAATCTCATACACTACAGATTTTCAGTCCATTATGCAAGTGTACTTGTTTACAGGATGTAGCCGATGAAGTAGTAAAGATTCGTAACGCCATGGGTAGCAGTATTGATGTAAGCTTTGATTGTGTTGGTTTTGACAAAACCATGTCAACTACTTTGAATGCCACCAGAGGTGGTGGCAAAGTGTGTCTTGTGGGATTAGGCCAGAGTGAGATGACTGTTCCTCTTTGTCCAACAGCCGCAAGGTATTTCATACAGTATTTTCTTAATGCACTGTTTGCAAAGTTCTTATGATGTAGCTTTTGATTGAGATTGAGATTCTGGTTGTGATTGTATTTTGAAAATTTTTCTTTTGGGGTGACAGGGAAATCGATATAATTGGCATATTTCGATATAGGAACACATGGCCTCTCTGCATCGAGTTTCTGAGGACCGGTAAGATTGACGTGAAGCCCCTCATAACCCACAGGTTCAGGTTTACCCAGGAGGATGTTGAAGAAGCCTTTGAAACCAGTGCTCAGGGTGGTAATGCCATTAAGGTCATGTTCAATCTGTAGTAGATGTAGCTTCAATAATGTTGCATATGCTGGGGGCTGTTAATGCCAATAAGGTCATGTAAATAGTCTGGGAAACTCTCTGCATTTTGGGATCAGCAAATATATAAAACTAAATGAATAAAAGATGATAATAATGTCTATGCAAAGAAACTCAGCTGATCTAAATGTCTAATTGGATCATGGACATATGTATTTCTGGAAACTTAAAGAAAAATGACATGAATTCGTTATTGGAAGTGTCTATTTATTCAAATTTGTTGAACCCTATCATTGAGCCAAAATTAAATTTACAAATCAGAGCTATTTCAACCAGCAACAATCATAAATGCATACAGATTTGTTTCTTTCTATGTGGAACCATGAGTTGGAGCATTGTTATCAAGAATACCAACACTAGGATTCAACCTGCATCTTCCATCACCTTGTCCTGGCTTCAGCTTAATTTCTTAGAACACCAATGCAGTGTTCTTTCTGAACTTGTAATCTTAATCTGAGCCTTCACTTGGATTAATATGTTTCCGCAAGCACAAGCTCAGATTAATCTCTGCCTTGAATCGTATTGTTTATCGCCCACAAATGATATCCACATCTAATCTCGTTCTTGGAGAGCATATGCATTCAATATCGGAGAATTAACACTGGGAAAAAAATGGCAACGGGCATCCAACATAGGGACCAGGAAAAAAACGAGGTCTGAATAGGAATGGTCCAATCAAGCACTTCAAACTTGAACCACCAAGCAGCATTCTTTTCCAGATAAAGCTCTTACGGTTCATCAAGCCCATGTTCTATCACCAAAAACAAAAGCTGCTTTCATAGCCTTCTAAATGTCTTTGGATAATATCTGTATAAATATACCAAGCAAGCAGAGCTCAGTATTAGGTTAAAAAACATACAAAACTTCTCATTGCCGAGTACTGGACCTTGACAAGCTGTTTCACATACCCATCAAAGCTTCGACCAAGTAACAAACTGCAATCAAGTTGGGATAGGCAACTCCAATATAATTTACCCTGCCAAAGAATGCACAACACAAAAGACGCATCCATTCACTGGCCCAGAAGTACCGCAATGCAGGCATGGGTAACATTTAAATCTTGCATAAAGCATCAAATAGAGTCACACTGCAGCCACTACCGACCTTAACATGAGGGCAAGTATCAATTCAACTTTGCAAGCGTTTTGCTCGCATCTGTTCAGTATTACTATAACCATCGGTATACCATGTTAATATAGAAAAATCCTTCAGTGTCAGCTTCTGTATTCATTTCTGTTTCAAGATTGGAGAAGACACTGTTCCTGAGAGCTGTTAGATGATATACCCACTTCTATAGAGCTCCAACCCAATGGCTTCTGCACATCACCATCCTCCATCAATTCTCTCATTTTTGTTGCATCATCCCATCTATCTGCACTGGCGTAAGAGTTTGATGAGAGAACATAATTCCCACTGTTACAAGGATCCAATTTAAGAAGCTTGTTAGTGGCTATCTCGGCTAGGGCCACATTTCCATGAAGGTTACAAGCACTCAATAACATCCTCCATATTACAACATCTGGAGCCATAGGCATTTGCTTTATAAACTCATATGCCTGATCTAGATTGCCAGAGCGGCTCAAGAGATCAACCACGCACCCATAGTGTTTCATTTCTGGCAATAATCCATAATCGTTCTCCATACTTCTAAAATATTCCAATCCTTTTTCTACCAAACCGGCGTGGACACAAGCAACTAATACCCCAACAAAGGCTCCATGAGTTGGCCGAAAACCTTCTCTTAACATTTGAGAGAAGAGCTCAATAGCATGATCACCAAAACCATTCACAGAAAGGCCAGAGATGACTGAGGTCCAAGATACAGAGTCCTTCTCTTTCATCTTGTGGAACACCTCCAATGCCCTCTTAACTACTCCACATTTGCAGTACATATCTATCAGAGAGTTCCCAACATAAACATCTTCTTTTACATTATTTTCTCGAATATAGTCATGAATTCCCTTGCCCACATCAAGTATGCCTAAATGTGCACAAGCAGAGAGCACACTAGCAACTGTAATTTCGTCAGGTTTAACCTTAGCCACCATCATTTCCCGAAAAAGCCTCACTGCATCAGAAAATTGATTAGCTTGAGAGTAACCTGTGATCATAGAAGTCCAAGATATCACATCCCTCTTCGGCATACCATCAAAGAGTTTCCTTGCTGCAACTAAATCCCGCACTTTTGTATACCCCATGATCATAGCATTCCAAGAGACAGTTTTTCGTTCCTCCATTCGATCAAATACTTCCCGTGCCAACCCCACCAAGCCAAACCGTCCATACATATCTATCAAAGTATTCCCCAAGTAAACACCAATCTCAACATCATTATCCTCAATGTACTTAACCATAGAATCTGCAATCTTCCTATCACCTAAATGGCTACAAGCTAATATAACTTTCATCATTGTCACACCATCAGCCTTGACATTTGCAACCCGCATAGCATCAAAAAGACCCAAAACTTCTTTATATCTCCTACATTGACTATAACCACAAATCAATGAGTTCCAAGAGACTAAGTCTCTGTCCGGCATTTCATCAAACAATTTCCGAGCAGAACCCAAATCACCACAGGACGCATACATATGAATCAAGGCATTAGAAACATAAAGATACAATTCAAACCCGAGTTTAAGACCATGAACATGAACCTTCCGTCCATGAACAATATCTGAAACTCGACCGCAAGCCTTGAAGACGAATATGAAGGTCAGATTGTCCCCAACTAATCCTTGGCCTCGCATTCGATCAAACATGCGAATTGCTTCAATGGGTCGATCGCTCTGTGACGTGCCACGGATCATATAGTTCCAATTTGGCAAAGCGGGACGTATGATTTGGTCAAAAGCGAGATGGGCTTTGGCCAGACTGGTTGGAGACAAAGCGTATGCTCGAATGACGGCTGACATTGAAATTGAATCAGTGTGCCGTTGGGTTCTGATGAGGTGTGCATGAAGCTCTTCAATGGCGTCATTGGAGATTAAGTTCTTGAAAACTCGCTCCGGTTGAGATTTAGGTGTGGCAGAAGTGGAGGAACGAGGAAAGAGTCCTGCGAGTTTCATGAAGAATACAAGAAAAATATAGTGAATTGGCAGCACATAGATGATCCGAGACCAAAGAAATCGACTATAACTGTCCCTACAATTAACAGTATATTGTTGCATCTACTAATTTCAAAGATATATAGAAATGTTTTAGAATTATTTTTTCAACTTCTTGCCTCCCTCAATTCTTCCACCCTCAAACATTCTTACTCTTACATTATTATTATTATTATTATTAATCATCTTAACAAAGAGTCGAAATTTAATATCTCTCTCTTTCTTTTTTTATTTATGTATTTATTTATTTTAACCATTTTATTTGTCATTTTATTTTTACTTTTAATTTTTTTAGGTGAAGTGCCAAAAAAAAACTGTAATTTAAAAAAATTGCTAAAAAACAAACAATTTGATATTCAAATTCCACACCCAATAGAGTGTGCATTAAGGGTTCTCACATGAAAAACGTGCATTTTATAGGCCATGTGTGAGTCATGTGACCTAAAAGCCTTTTTTAGTTTTTACTATCAAATTTACCCTTTGTGTGTTCCCAAACTGCTCCTCTCTGATTTTTATATATAATACCCTATTTATCTTTTATTTCTCTTTTTAACGGCTCTCTCTATGTGTATATACCATTTTCTTTGAGGATATGTGCAATTATTGTTTAATAAATTTCCCTACATTTTAAAATTTGTGCAGATAAAGACTTTGTTGAAATTGAATAATTAGTTGACTTTATAATTAAAAAACAAAAGGAAAAAGGTGGTAAAACGCAAAATGATAATTTTACCCTTAAGCTAATAAGGGAACAAAGATTTTGTATTACTTGAACCAAATGCCAAACACCACCAAACACACCCACGCTTATATACCCCACCACACAAACTGACACTTAACCTAATGTTTGATTAGGTTCGTTGTTGACAACATCGTTACGGATTCAAAACTCAGAAAAGATTGGAGATTCAGAAAATCATCTCAACCATCACCCCCGTTGTTAGTGCCGCCGTCAATGAGACTTGCAAAGAAGGTGTTTGGGGATTCAAAAAATCTGAAGAGAGAAAGAGAAAAAAAAGGAAAAAAAAGAAAAAGAAAAAGAAAAAGAAAACGAAAGACGAATCTTTTAATTAAGAAGGCTTACGTTCTTTAATGGAAGATGGTTCCAATTCAGTTCCAATTCAAAAAGGACATTATGCATAAAAAGATAATTATGAACTCACCAACCCTATTTATTCCATTATTTTTAGACGAATAAAAAGATGACATGTGGCGAGTTTCAATGAGCTTGCCACACTAGATTACTGCTTAAATATTCATCTCCTTGGTGAGTTGGTGTTCAAGCATTTTTGTTTTGGTCTTCCGACGTAACTTTTCATCTTCCCAGGTGAGTTGGTGCTCGAGCACTATGAGAATTGCTTGAGCTCTGGCAATTGGAACTTTCGAAGCGTCTTTTCATCTTCGTAAGGGGGTTTATGCTAGAGCTCTTTGGAAAAGGCTCGAGCGCTATGGTCTTTTGCTCGAGCAGATAATTCTATGCTAGAGTATTTTTGCCTTAGTGACTTTTATTGCTTTATTCCACTTTGTGCTTAAGCATGGATACTTGTGCTCAACCTCTTGCACTTGAACTTCTCCAGAATTACCTGTTGGACTCCAAAATTGCTTTAGATGGTTGAGGACAACTCCATAAGCCTCGGTAACAGTCTTTAAGTTTCCAGAATCACTATTTTATCATTTTCTTTGGGAAAGTACCTACAAAAGCAAATAAACTAAAATCAGTCTAAAACTAGATAGAAGTATCACTTAAGGCCTTAACATACGCATGTTTAGGGACTTGAATATGCAATATTCAATGCTCATCACACATCATTCCTGAACGCACCAAACCTCTGTCATCTGGGCAATTTGGTACCAGAATCACACAACCATTTGTTCTTTCAATGCTCTTTCCTTTCCCCCATATGGACATTTATTTAATCACGTTATAGGTACCTCATTCTTCCCTCCTTATGGAATGACCTGGTTGCCTCGGTTGCTCACCGTTGAAAAGGAAAAGCTCTTGACTACAGAACACATACATCTCGGTTGGCACTTACCTCACTAGTTTACAATATCTGGTCAGAACGTAATCGTAGAATCTTCAAGAAGAAAAGACTCTGCAAATGAAATTTTGAACAAAATTACGGAATCAATTCGACTCAAACTGATAGCTGATCCTCATCTTGATTCCCTAATTAATAGACACGTTCTAAGTGAGTGGGACATTCCTTGGTCCATACTTCGTCCTCCTCTAAGATTGTCGGACTAGGAATGGAAAAGTGAAGCTTCTTATACCTGGTTGCTTCACTCGGTTGGTCTAATAGCTGTTTTAGCGGAATTGTGACTTGTGCTGTTTGATAAAACTGAAAACTAAGAATGAAAATTTTAAGTACTAAATTTTAAGCGCTGAAATTTTAAGTACTGAATATATTAATCTGTAAACTTGTTTGATATTGTATTAATTTTAAGCTCTGAATTTATTAAGATTGTTTGTTAAATGCAAAAGCTGAAATCTGAATGTTGTATATATTACATTTTTGCCTTGAATATCTTCTGCACATAATATTATTATAAAAGATAATATATTAAAACATAAACATATATATAAAATAATGAATTTTACCAAAGAAATATATCAATTTAACAATGGATATTAATGTTGTAGGTATCAAATAATGGTAATGCCACATCATCAACAATGACCCGCAAAGCTTGTTCAAACAGTCAACGGACTATGCCACATCATCAACGGTAAAACAATCAATCAAAGTTATGTAGCACTTACCACGTAAGTATACATCGAATAGAAGATCAAATACTTGAAGGAGTTGGGAGAAGGACTCAGGATTATTTGGGATCTGAGGAGGTTCTTGGTTAGTGGATGAAGTTCAGGAATCTTCGAGTCAACTCTCGACTTGACTTGTAGAGAGAAAAATACCATTTTGACTCCTATACAATTTAGACCCATCTTAATTAACATTATTTAATAATGTTAATGAGTCCACATGTGATGTCATATGATGATGCCACCCAACCTCTCACTTGGCCTATATAAGGAGGTTCTCCAAGGTCAGGAAGGGTAGAGCAAGAAGGGAGGAGGAGAGAACTTCTCATGTTTTCTCCATACACCTTCATCAAGGGAGTCAATAGTGTATTATTACACTGCTATATTCACCATCTCTCTCGAGTTTGCTTGTGCTTCTACCTTTCTCAGTCCACCTCAGATTCTATTATGTTGTCTGGATCACTCTAATTTGTGTATGATATCACCATTTATATGTATTTTATTGTGTTACTAAAATAAACCCTTACAATTTGGCGACTCCGCTAAGGATATCAACACAAAGCCAACGAACTCAGGCAACCATCCTTCTACAATATACCCTGGAACTTGAGGTTAACTACCTCATTCTGGTGAGCACGTTCTATACTTTAAGCCTCCTCAGTTCTTTACGTTTCATACTGTCGTCTGCTTTGGTTATTACATCCACTTGTTAATTGGTGTCGGTCGTTGCGGTGTGCACCAAAGTTGCAATTGAGGTGTAGTGTAGCCAAGTTTAAATTTATAGAATGCCACTACCACTACTAACTATAAATGTAGTTAGAGTGAGTAAGGATCGTCCCAAGGGATATGGAGTGTATTTTTGCTTAGAAATTAAGGTCGGATTAGTAGTTCGAGTGATCAAAGATGGTTTGTTTGGTTAATTAAACTACAATTTAAACTAATTAAAAGCAATGTGAAGCGAATAGAATAATTGGAGTGTAGAGAATATGAGAGAAAAGTCTTGAGACTTAGAGTTTACCATTAAGCATCACCTTCCTAGACATTCAATGTTTGATAGATTAGGGGGATTTTATGTTATAATTGAAAATGTGTGCCATTAATTGAATTAACAAGCATGGATGACCAAATAAGTATATATTGTCTAGCCAAACTAGATAGTAGCACAACATATCAAATCAAGCCACATTATTCATTCCTTAAGGTTCACAATTAATGCACATCATCATATTAGAGAAATATACTACTTGTATTCATAAGCATGGAACATCAAGCAACAAACATGGATTGTCCTCCCATCTAAGAAAGTAAGGCAACTATACTACAACTAGGCTAGTGACAGGAAAATTAAACTAATTAAACTAAGGAGGAGGCACAATCCATCAAGAAATAAGTATGAACCATCAAACAAACCATAAGAGTAATCTATTTAAGCACCATGCCTTGACCACCACTAGATTCATAGCATCAACACACATAGACATGCATTAATATCATAAAATTTAGAAATAAATACATGAACATTCATTCTAGCATACATAGACATATGGATAGAATTAAATGATCAATTGAAAGTATTTAACCACACAAATCATTGTAGAAACAAGATTTATATATAAAAGATGTTAAGACAAACATTACAACACAAATCCCCTTTAATTACAAAGCATCAAAGTTTAGGAGGTATGTTTAGGGTTATTTCTAGCCCCAAGAGAATGGTTTAGCCACTCATTGATGTTGTCATCCAACCCTCAAGGGCTATCTCCATGGTAGAAATGATCTTCTTCTCCTTGGTAGAAACCCTAGATGAATGGAAGAGCTCTCTCGAGATGGTGTGTATCTCTCCCTCTCTAATATTTAGACTCCCCTCTATGGTTGTATTATTCTATATGGTTCCAAATGGCTAAAATCCTTATATAGGTAACTTAAATGTCACACCCAATGGTCAAACCTCGTACACTAGGACCTCCAAATGATTGCACCACGAGTACATCTTTTAATTGGCTGGAACTCTGTTTTTCTCGCACTTAAGGAGGTTCGATCGATCACAAGGTTGGTTCGATCGATCGAACTAAGGCGGCACCTTTTTGGAATAAAGATAAGGCTGAGATATTTTTGGGATATTTTGGGAAAAGGACAAAAGTGGTAAGTAGGGATAAGATCAAAAATGTTTGATCGATCGAAAGAATGTTGGATCGATCAAAGAAGGAAATTTCCTGAGGATAAGGACAAGAGGCTCGATCCATTTTGGCATTGTTGTAATGATCACTATGAGATCGATCGGAGTTTGGTTCGATCAATCGAAGAATGCTGTTTTTCACCACTTTGCTTCCACTTTGCTCCTTTCTTCCACTAAGCTTGAGATTGCATCTTTTATGCTCTAATTCAGCTGAATTGACTTATTTTAGGGATAAGTGCCCGAGAAGGGAAATAACATGAAATTAGACTAAAATGGTAAAATAAGATAGATTAAGGTCCTAGAATGCTCAAGCTTAAGGGGTTTAAATGCACACTTTTCAGCACTTATCACACCCCCAAACTT